CCAAGTACTGAGCAAACTACTGAACCAAACGTGTCTGCATAAAGTGTTGCCGCCAGGTGGCACCAGAGTCCCCGTCTTTGTTCTGAGAATCTTGCGTAGCTTTCAGCCATTTATTGCCAAGCCTGCCATTAAATATGCCTTCTTTAATGAAGAAGCTTCAACTTATTTATTGAGCAAAATGCCAATGAATTCTATAGTAGAAACAAATAAATAAATTAACCAGGCAAAGTTGTAACTTAACATTTTTCACATAGTAGACTATTCTGTTCACTCTGCCCCTCTGCCCTGACCCCTTGTCAGGCACTGGGCTCTGATCCCAGCAGCTGCTTTCTAGGCCCTGAGCAGAATCTGGCTTTCAAGCTTCCCTAGTGGAGAGTGCCTAGATACCTGAAAGTTGCCTCAAATCCTTGGTTTGTGTTTTTAGATCATTTATTTTTCCTGGAAAGGAAATTAAACATTATAAAGAAATTACTGTAACCCTACCATTTTTAATATGTTGATTATTTTGGTTGCCTCATTGCTGTCTTTGCTCCCTTATGTATGTGACTCTATGCAGTTTTGACCATGTGAAGCCATAATAAGAACTTTATATACATTACTTCCATTTACATTTTCTTTTTCTTTTTTTTTTTTTTTTGTGAGGAAGATCAGCCCTGAGCTAACATCCATGCTAATCCTCCTCTTTTTGCTGAGGAAGACCGGCTCTGAGCTAACATCTATTGCCAATTCTCCTCCTTTTTTTTTTTTTTTTTTCCCCAAAGCCCCAGTAGATAGTTGTATGTCATAGTTGCACATCCTTCTAGTTGCTGTATGTGGGACACGGCCTCAGCATGGCCGGAGAAGCAGTGCGTCGGTGCGCGCCTGGGATCTGAACCTGGGCCACGAGTAGCGGAGTGCGCACACTTAACCGCTAAGCCACGGGGCCAGCCCTCATTACTTCCATTTAAATATAAGAGCTGTTATATATATTTTGGTGAGGAAGATTGGCCCTGAGGTAACATCTGTTGCCAATCTTCCTCTTTTTGCTTGAGGAAGATTGGCCCTGAGCTAATATATATGCCAGTCTTCTTCTATCTTGCATATGGGATGCCACCACAGCATGGCTTGATGAGCGGTGTGCAAGTTTGCACCCGGGATCTGAACCTGCAAACCCTGGGCCGCCGAAGTGAAGCGTGTGAACCTAACCGCTACGCCACCGGGCCGGCCCTAAGAGCTATTATATTGAATGCTTACGTTATATTTATGACATTATTTATATTGAATGCTTACCTTATTAGGCACTGTTTTAAGAGCTTTCCTTGCATTAACTCACTTAACCCGTGCAACCTTATGAGAGTAGATATTGGTAACCCCATTTTACAGTTCAGAAAACTGAGGCTTATCACAGTTAAGTGATTGCCTTAGATGGCATAGTAAATAGCTATATTGGGATTCATATCTAGATCTCTTTAATTCTAAAATCTCTGGTCATTTCACTGTATTATATCATTCTACTTTGTTCGTTTGTTCTGTAATGATTTCTATTTGGACTTCTGGAAAGGGTCTGAAGATTAATAGAATCATTAAGGGTTTGATTTATGTTTTTCTGCTGCTGCTAGACTGTTGCTAGGCCTTGAGGACAGGGACTAGAAGTCAGATTTATGTCTGCATTCTTCTTCCCATTAAATGCAAAGTAAATACTTGATGCTGCCTCCTCTTCCAGGAATTCTGACATACAAGGCTGCTTAACAGAACCTTAGCATATTAGAACTTGAAGGGGTTTGAAAAATCAAGTCAAACCCTTCCTTCAAGGAGGAAAGACCTCCTTAGGGTGACCCAGTGAGTTGAAGGCAGAACAGAGCTAGAACCCAGGTCTTCTGGGCTTCTACTGGGCCATCTGGTTTCAAAGAGCCTAATCCTGTCCCCAAGTTCCTTCCCTCCTTTCCTTTCCTCTCGCCTCTTTTTTCATGATGTGAGTTGAGTAGCTCTACACCCTTAAAGTTTGAAGTCTGAAAGTTATAAAACAAGGCAAGATTTTTCATTCCTTTTGCACTGACGTGTACACTTACTCCTGACTATGTCTTTGTTCAACCCAGAGTAGAATCCAGGTCCTTTGCTTCTCACCAAACGCAAAATGTGCAGAGCTGCAGCTCACATAGAGAAGAGTGTCTTCACTAGAGTCCCCCTCAGAACAGGCTAGATGATTGGTGGGAGTGGGAAAGAGGCTCTTAGAGCAGCTGATTGGTTTTTTTGTGTGTGTGTGAGGAGGACTAGCCCTGAGCTAACATCCATGCCCATCTTCCTCCATTTTATATGGGACGCCGCCACAGCATGGCTTGACAAGCGATGCGTTTGTGCACGCCCAGGATCTGAACCTGCGAACGCCGGGCCACCAGAGTGGAGCACGCGCACTTAACCGCTGCGCTACCAGCCGGCCCGGCAGCTGACTGTTTTTATGCAACAGGCAAGTTTTTGGAAAAGCTGGAAGGAGACCAGGAATTCCTGTTCTTTCTCAGAGAGGACAATTGTGGCCAGACCATGTGATTTGATTCTTCTCTAGTCTCTGGGCCTACTGTTTGTAAACATCCCGGGGGCCTGTTAAAGCAAACAATGTGAAGGCTAAAGACCCTGTAGCCCTTCTTTCCACATCCCGTCTCCAGCTACCCCTTTTAGTATTGTGATTCTGGTTGCCTTATCCCCTAGTTTAAATAATCTGTAGTTGTTTGTTGTGTCTTTTCGTGGTCTCCTCCCAATATCTCCTAGAATGTCACCTGGAGTGTTATTTGAGTAGCCCTTTGTTAGCACATCCTAGTGCTTCCACACTTTTTATGTAACTCCAGAATATTTTGGATTGCTTCCTTCAGAGAGTCAGTGGTGTTCCTGCACAGAATTGATGCTGAGGCTGCGTTGTTCACTGACCAGCAGCCAGCACCAGTGGGCACACAGAACTGGAAGCTCTAAAGCAAAGTGCTCTGCCCACCATTCTTTTCTCACTGTCTCTCTTATTATTTGTATGTAAAGTAACACTAAAAAAACTAACACTTTTTCTTGCCATAGGGCAGTCTATACGAGAGTAGTAGCTATAGACAACTAAACACTAAAAAGATGCTCCATGCTGCATTATCCAGTATGGTACTACCAGTCCCACGTGGCTGTTGAGCACTTGAAATGTGACTAGTATCTTTTGAGATATACTATAAATATAAAATACACATCAGATTCCAAAGCTTTAATACAAAAAAATAATTTTAATATTGAGTAAATGTTAAAATGATATTATTTTGGATATGTTGGGTTAAGTAAAATATATTATTAAAATTAATATCATCTGTTTTTTTTTTTAACCTAGCTACTAGAAAACTTAAAATTACATATATGACTCACATTATTTTTTGATTGGTCAGCACTGGTCTAGAAATTCCCAAGAGTGAATACTTTCTCAAAAGTTTTCTATGCTATGGAACTTCAGGAAACTAGCTGCCATTTTCTTCTCCATAGCTACCTTCCCCTTTTTTTAAAATGTTCTCTCATTTCATTTGATGACATCAGCAAGAAAGCCTCCATTGAGCTAATTATCTTTTTTTACACCTGTTACTCACCTGAGAAGAGTGACATCTAGTGAAAGCTGGGTGGTTGAGGGAGGGAGTTAGGAGGCACTGGGAGCAGAAGACTGGTGATTAGTCCACACTTCTGACTTCGAATTGTGTTATAATTTGGACCTCTTCAACTAACAAGTCTGAGGTAAAGATCTAAAAGAGGAGAAAGTAAAGTAGGCATTCTTTAAAACAGAAATGTGCCTCCCTCTTAGGGGTCTAGTCTTGCTTTCCTCTCATTTATCTGAATTTATTGAGGATCTGTCATGTGCCGGTTTTCTAGCACAGAGGAAACAGATGAATACAGCCTAGTCCCTGCTCTCAAGGAGTTTACATTGGGGTGGAGGATGAATTTGAATCCAGCCTCATACTCTAGATAAGCACTAGAAAGATGGTAGGAAAGAAAATGCTTTTGGAGCCCTAGAAACTCATGACTCATTCTGCCTGGAAAGGAGGCTGAAGGCTTCCTGTGTTTTGGATGTGATACCATCAGGTAGAAAGGCAGGTGGGAAGGATGTTTTAGCTGAGGGGCACAGTCTGACTAGAGGCTGGGGGAGTGGTAGAGGTGACCCTTGAAATGGTAGTTTGGGGTAACATTGTGGGAGATTTGACTGCCTGTCTAAGGATGTTGGATCTTATCCTATATGCAGGGGATCCTTAGAGGGTTTTCTAAGCAGGGAATGACATGTTCAAGACTGTGTTAGATACCACTCCAGTGTTCCTGGGAAGGGTAGATTGGAGGGGGAGACACTGAATGCAGGGAGACTTACCAAAGAGGTTGTTACAGTCAGCCAGGCAAGGAACAACAGAGGCTCAAGTGGGAAGGAAAGAATATATACAATAAACACTTGAGTGAGGGATGAAAGGGAGATGTCAAGCATGGGCTCAGGGGGCTGGCCAGTGGCTCAGCAATTAAGTGCGCGCACTCCACTTCGGCGGCCTGGGGTTCACAGGTTCGGATCCCGGGTGCGCACCGACACACCGTTTGTTATGCCATGCTGTGGCGGCATCCCATATAAAGTAGAGGAAGATGGGCACGATGTTAGCCCAGGGCCAGTCTTCTTCAG